CATGAGGTTTGTGTAACCCATGTTACCTTTGGCTTTATGTTTTCTGAGTAGAAGTCATCCTCTCGATCGGCATCACTCTGTTCTTGGTATTCTTGATATTCACTAACGTATTCTGCTGGTAGTATCGATATCACTCCAATTTGATGCTCGTCCCAAGTACCCTCATTCTTATCATCGAAATATTCTCTTGCATATTGACTATCCATCGGTACAATATTTTTTTCGAAATTCCTATAATTATTTCAATAAGGGATCCTTCCTCCTCTTCTCCAGGGTCTGCCTCGGAATCTCCTTTGGAATGTTGGGAATCCAGTGTTCGATCCTCCATCGTATGACAATCTCTCGAAGACGTCATTGCTTTGAAGTCTGCCTCTTCCTCCTCGAGAAGGATACATCTCTCTTCTAACCCATTGCCTTTGATTTTCGCTAACACCAGAACCAACGGATTTCTACTTACTTTCTTCGATTGTTGGTCGGACCGTTTGATCTACTTTGTCATTTTTCCTTTTATTTTAGTTCTTGACCTTCTTCATCTGTTCTGTTCTGAAAGCTTTAGCAGCCGATTTATCGAACACCGCACTGCATCGTGGGCATAACGACACATCTTCGTCTTTTTCTTTCTTCCTATTCAGAAACTCAATGAGGGAGTCTCCTGACCGAGGGTAAATCTCTTTTTCGAACTCCTTTTCAAATTCACTCAGGTCAAATTCCATATCCTCTTCAGACACATCCATTCTGACATGTTTAGGGTCAATGTCTTCAGTAACATCGACCACGCCTACAAAAGCAGCATTCGTCATTCGGACATCCTCAGTCATGCCCGTTTGGGATTCAATATATCCCACTTGCACTTCGAATGGACTCGTGTCCACTTTCATCGACATCTCTTCGAATTTCAGTCTCCCTTGGTCAATCGCATCTTGGATCGTATTCCTGAAATGTATGCAATTGTTAGTCCAATGTCCAAAAACATTATGAAATTTACAATACTTTCGACCATTCCTTTGTTCTGCCGAAGACAATTTATGATTTTCGCTCAACTTAATTTGTTTATCTTTTAGTAAGATATCGAAGATTTTATCAGCCTTTGTCACATCAAAAGTATATGTTCGATTTGCCATCTTATCTTTTACTTCATTCTTTTGTAGCATTTTACAGATATACGGAGCTCCTATTCTGAGTTCTGCTATGTTTACTTTCTCATCGACAGTCTCTTCCACATCATTCTCTGTCGTGGGATCTGTTTCATACACATCATTTATATATGCTATTCTTTCTTTCTTCATCGGTTTCTCAAATTTCTTATATCTTTGTTTTTCATATTCGATTTGTTCTACTCTTCTCACTTTATCAGCTAACTGAGCCATATCATTCAATGGTAAATTGACTAACTTTTTCCTAATCGAGAATTCTAAACCTGCAGAGGCCATTCTGACTAATTCATATTCAGGAATTTGAGTAAAACATCTCGATTTCATTTGTCTAAATCGATTCAAATAATCATCTATGCGTTCATGATTGTATCTCTTTACATTTATCAAGTCGATGAGACTTACTTGAGTTTCTCCTCTAAAGAATTGCTCATGAAAATTTCTCTCTAACTGCAACCAATTATATATCGAATTGGGCGGTAACTAAGTGAACCAAGTAAAAGCATTCTTAGTCAAATAACTAGGAAAATATTTCATCTTTAATTCTTCACTCATCGCTAAATTCCCGCATTCGATCTGATATCGAGCCACATGCTCGATCGTCGATTCACCAACTTCTCCAGCAAATTTAGTGAATTTGGGTACTTTATATCCTCGAGGCAATTCTGTCTCAAGAATCGCATTCGGAAAGGGAGACACAAAGTATGTCTGATTGAGTGGTCTAAATTTCATCCCTTGTAAATTCATCCTTTGTCCCAACATGTTATTCTGATTGTGTATGTTTTGAAATCCTTCGTTCAAATTCCCATAAATGTCATTCCTCACGTATTGGTACTCATTTCCCATATGCTGATGTTGATCATTGTTTCTGTTTCTCCTCAATAGATACGGGGGATTGATATTAGTGTTCTGATTAGCATGATTTTCTACCCTTGTTTGTCGAGGTACAGCCAATGCATCCCCGATTCGTGACATTTGATCTGCTAATATTTCAAAACTAGCGGTAGTGTTTTGAACTAATGGATTTAGAACTGTAGTCAACTGTTGTGATAACATATTCACCATCTCAAAATTACTCTCATCCATTTGTTGTCTAAGTATTCCTAAGGAGTTACTAGATATTCCAGTACCAGTATTTTCGATAGTATCAAAATTAGATCGATGATAATCCCTATCGAATGCATATCTCCCATGGTCTATGTTTCCTCTATGATCTAGATTTGGAGGTGTTTGCTGCGTTCCTACATTCTGCACACTCCCTGAGTTCTGGGGAATTACTAAATTTTGAGATGTTCCTAGGTTTGGAGATACTCCAAAATTCTGTGGCATACCTAGGGTTTGGAATGTTCCTAAGTTATATCTCGAATTTCGTTGCATCGAAGAAGTACCAACCCCATTCATGTTAAGCGAAAACCCTGGTGGTCTTACACTCATATACGACCCAACATTTGTTGTTATAGGGTTTCCCATGGTTTGCATACTGTTTAGTGCCACCGAACTAGATCCTACTTGTGTATTTGCTAAAGTGCCTGAGTTTTGTTCATTACCCACGGGTATCGACATACTTACAGTTGTCGAAACTACAGGTATATTCCCATTATGACTTTGCCCCCCAGTATTTGATGAGTGTGACCCATTTAATCCCTCAGTGTTACTCTGGTTACTCGATGAACTCTGACTCATGACTCTCCCACTCCTTAATCTCATACACCCTCGAACTAACCAATTTTGTGTTTCTCAACACAAGAAGTCCCCTACCTGGCGCGCCAATTTGTTTCTGGTGGAATTTCGATCGATTTCGATTCTAAAGGTGATTTGGTCCTAATCAAAATCCTCTACGTAAGTTCTTTTTACCTAGGCTAGCAGTCTGACTTTCAATCGAAAACGTGTATGAGAATCGAAAGTCACAGAATATCAAAATGCTATTTTTTAGTATTTTATATTTAAAATACCGAAAGCAGTAAAAATATCGAATCGAGAAATGGAATATTAAATTGCGAGGAAATGTAAAGTGCGAAAACCCCAAGTTTGCATTAATTGTAAATGATAAGAAATCGAAAACAGCACAAATATAAATGACAAGAAATCGAGATTGCAAGAAAAGTAAATGACAGAAAATCGAGATTACAAGAAAAGTAAATGACAGGAAATCGAGATTGCAAGAGCTTAAACTTTCATTGAATTGAAATGACTAGAAATCGAAAATACGTAAATATAAAACCGTCGAATTTAAGTTGCATCAAAATAAATTACCAAGGAAAATACGTAAAGCGGTAAATGTACTCAGTGAGCAAGGAAATCCAGATTGCCAGAAGCTTCATGGTGTTCGTCGTTTCTCCGGTAGACTTTTCACTACTGATTCTGTCCTCTGCCAATTTCTGCCCCCCCTTCTTTTTTCCCCTTTTGCTCTATTTATAGGGCATTGTTCAAGCTTTCCAGGAGCAGTTAACAAGACTGCTACCACGTTCTACGTGCATATGGCAGTTTATCTTCTACGGTTTCCCACGTTCTCACGATCTTCGACTTCCTCCAAGGTTTCGAAACTACTCTCTATACGTACGTTTGACTTATTCTTCTCTTCACGGTTAGGCCAAAGTCTCGATGTCCACGTAGGCTTTCTTTACTCTCGATTATGTATTTTTTTCGAGCACTTCAAATTGCTTACGATTCTTTTTTTAACCCTGATCTCATATGACTTAGTTTATATTCGACAACAGGCATTTGATTATCATTCACTCGATTCTCGATTGTGCTTCTCGATGCTATATGCTACGTACTTCTAATTAGACATCAAGTGAATTTTTGTTTATCTTTATCGAGTCACATTTCTTTCCTTCATTTTCGATAACTTTTTTCGATTTGCCACTAACAGTAAGATAATGCAATAAGGATGAAAATTAAGAAGAATTTCCACACAAAATAATCTCATAGACTTTCTAAGATGTTCAACCTCAAAATATCATTAACTGACTAATATGAATTAGAGCACATAAATGAGACAATTTATTAACTCATCGGAATGTAACTTGTTATCTCTTAAAAAAAATTATAAAATCAATTCTCTCTCTATATATAATATTTTTATTTCTAGTCTAAGAAGTTTAGTTAGACTCCGTTTATTTATGAAAAAAATATATTAATTAATTTATTTATTTATAATAAATTTAAAATAATTTATATGAGTATTCTTTATAATAATATTTTTTTATAATATTTAACTTAATTTTATAATATATTAAAAAAAATTGAATTATGTTTGATTTGAGTAATTTTTCTTCGAATCAAATCAAATCATCATATTATAATAGGAATTTACATAAGGGTTAGATAATTGATTTTTTTTTATTTAACTCTATGTCATTGTAGAATTGGATTAATTTGATTATAATTTGTTAAAAAATATTTTTTATTAAATTTTGTAATTTTAAAATATATATCTTATATTTTTAAAATTGATTATATTATCTATTATTTAAATAATTTAATATTTTAAAATATATTTAATTATTTATTATTGATGTTATTTAATAATTATCATCCATGAAATGGATTGAATTTCGAATTCATCATGCAAAATTTATATACAACCTTTAAAAATTTGAATTGAGATTGATTTATTTTTTTGAAAAAAAGAAGAAGAAGTGAATTTACTTGAAATTAAAGACCCTACTTTACATGACTTAATTTTTAAAAATTTAAATTTTAAATGGGTAATATAATACTACATGATAAGAGGAAGAAGAAAGTGACGTGGGCGACTGTACAAACCCTCCCTCCCTTTATATACCATTTCCCCTGCACCATCCGTCTTCATCAAACTCAGTTTCTTTCCTTCTTCTGTTTGAAAACATGGGAACCTCTCTTCTTCGCTCCCACGATTGTCTTCAAGGCCACGATGCCTTACCCCTCACTTCATCCTCAATTAGATCACAAAGAAACCCTAATTCCAATCCCAGCCCTTACCAGACTCGCCGCCGGAGGCTCTACGACGGCTATCGCTCCGGTATGGTTGTGAAGGGCCCTGGCGCGAACCTTGTTATTGGGCAAGTCAAGATCCTCAAGAGAGGCGAGAAGCTGAACCCCGAGAACACGGGTTCCGCCAATGAAGGTTTTGATCTGGTTCTGGGATCCACGAACCGTTTGGGCCCGGATCCGAGTTCTGTCCCGGTTCCTGGGTTCCTCGCTCTGAGGCGGTGATGATGAATTGGCTGATTGTATCGTTGGATTTCGGCGTTGGTCGGGCGCACGTGAGATGTCACGTGAGGTGTGGTTGTTGGGAACTTTCTTGATTGTTTGATCTGATCGCATGGTCTCGACGATTTGATTTGTATTTTTCAAGAGCATGGTCTTGACCCCAAGCGAATGAAGATAAAATCGAAAGGGAAAGTTGAAAACTTGTACGGATCAGGGTTTAACTTTTGGTCCCGAGGCTTTTTAGGTCATCCTTGAAGACAAGAAAATATGTTATCCTATTTGTAAATTCCCATAGTGCTCTTTTAGTGTACCACACGTTAATCTAGTAATATGTGTGTGTGGGTGTTGTGTTTCTTGGATGTGTTTAGTTCTGAAACGTAATGCAATAAAATTTCTGGTATTGGTCAGTGTGTTTGTTTGATAGGAGAATTGAGACAGATACCTCTGTATGACTCGAATTGAACTTGAAATGTTCTTCGTGGAGGAAAAATTTAAAGTATACAATTGGTGATTGTGTAATGCTTGTTAGGGTTGATTTGAGTGAGTTAAATCATTGTATTCACCACATGGTTTGCGATTAATTCAATGAACTACTATACATGTTGATCTCATAATCTTTTCTCATGTTGCATCTTTATTGCATTTCATTGAGACTGCAACTACACTAACACGATCATAGTAGCTTGTGGCCACAGTGGCCACTGGGCAATTGTAGAATGAAGAAAGTCTTGGTGAATTAGTGAATGGTGAATACTACCTCTAATTTGATTTGATGTGTATCATTATGAACAATTGAGAATTAATTATTCTCTTATGGAAATAATGAAGTTTAACCACTCTGATTAGTTAACCTTATATATCAACCAGTAGTAGACTAAAATCTTCTAAAAGATTGGTGTGATAGAAGATAACTCGTCATAGACTAAAAAATAAGGTCACACCATCTTTTAAACTCATTCTTCCTATCATAAGGAGACACTTAAAGTTAATTTTATACTTTTATTCATATAATTTGTTCTTTTACTAATTTCATCATTGGAGAACCATTTTTAGGAGAATTTCTTTTCAGTGTTGTGATCAACCATCAATAACTATTTAATTATTTATCCATTATTCTCATATTTTAAAAAGAGGAGACTTCCTTAGTAAAATCATAATATTTGTAGTTTACGATGTGACACTAAAATTATTATTGGTAAAACATTCCTGGTCTGAATCCTACTCTTTTCACTGTCATGTAGTTCAGATATTAGCATCAGTTGAGACATATCCTTTTCCAGAACCAGTGCCTCCTCCACATAAATGACATCTCTTCAATGGGAATCCCCTTGGTTTCAGGTAGGAACAAATAAACAAATATGGTCATGACGGTAATCCAGCCTGCAAAGAAGAGGAAGATCCCAAACTTGAATGCGCAGAGAAGGGCAAGGAAGGCCTGGGCAATTATGAAAGTGAACAGAAGGTTTACAGCAACCGTGATGCCCTGCCCTGCCGATCTGATTTCCAATGGAAATATCTCACTTGGGACTGTCCACCCAAGTGGGCCCCATGACCAGCCGAAAGCAACAACAAATAGGCAAATCACCACAACCACCAAAATTGAAAATCCTTTTGTCAATTCTTGGTCTGCTCCAAACTTGACCCCTAAAATAATGGCCACTAGAACCTGCAAAATGAACAACCACTTTGCAAAATCAATTGTTCTGCATAATAAAGCAAAAAGTGCACCACTTTCAAGATAGTAAACATTTTATGATAAGCAACCACTTTGCAAATTGCAAGAATCTTGACTTTTGAAAACTATATCCACATGCACCTTATATTATAAAATAACCCCTTAGATTACCTGGTAATCTAACATGAGTTCTGAAGTTAAACATAATACAACAGATTGATGTTTTGGTCTGGATTTCTAGCATTATTTCCCACCTTCATGGATATTTTAAACATGATTATAGTTTTTATGAGAGTTTTTGTTACCTGGCATGTGATCATCTAACATGAGTTCTGAAGTTAAACATAATACAACAGATTGATGTTTTGGTCTGGATTTCTAGCATTATTTCCCACCTTCATGGATATTTTAAACATGATTATAGTTTTTATGAGAGTTTTTGTTACCTGGCATGTGATCATCTGTACTCCGCCACTAAGAAGAAGAACTCTCCTGCCCAACTTATCTACCGTTGCTATGGAAATGAATGTTGAACCAGCAAGAACTCCACCAGTCAAGGCTGAAGAGATGAGTGAAGCATCTCCTCCAAATCCCATGCTTTGAAACAGCACTGGAGCATAGAAGAGAATGGAATTTATGCCAGTGAGGATCTGAAAGGTAGGCATGAAGATTGCCATCACCAACTCTGGCCTGTACCTTCTTTCAAGGATGTTACGAAATGGATGCTTTATTGAGTTCGCCAACTGGCTTGCATCAACCATATCTTGGAACTCTGCATCAACCTCCTTGGTTCCTCTGATTTTTTCTAGCAGCTTCCTTCCTTTGTCCATCAATCCTCGTTCGATTAAGCTATTTGGAGTGTCAGGAAGAAATATCCCTCCAACGGTCATCAAAAGAGCAGGTACTGCAGCCAAGCCCAGGGACAGCCTCCAACCCCAAGGCTTGATATTTTGTGTTCCATAATTGACCATGTTAGCTGTGAAAATCCCTAGAGTGGTTGCAACTTGAAACAACATGTTCAGGCCACCTCGAAGGTGTGTTGGTGCCATCTCTGACAAATAAAGCGGAATAGCCTTCAAAACAATAATAACCAGGAGGAGAATTTTTCAACTTTCAAGGTATAACTGGATTATCTTCTAACTCTACATACACACCGTTTCAATCTTATTACTAACTTCTACCCTGTAAATTTTATAAACACATGTCAACTTTTACCTCATTGCTCTTAACACTCACACCTTTCAAAGCATTGATACTTGTTGGGGTAATCTAAAGCTAGGCTTTAAACAAATGGAAAATAGTTGGTTTCACCTATCATATAAATATCCTAATTTATTTCACCTAAAAAGGAAACCAAAATTGTTTTTTCTGCATAAGGATTGATCATAGATTAAAGAAAAATGTTACTACCTGATTTCCAAATCCAATGCCAACACCAAGCATGACCCGTCCTAATATCAGCATTGTCAGGTTAATAGCTGAAGCATTCAGAGCTGATCCAATAAGAAAGCTGATACCACCACCTATGATACTTGCTCGACGTCCGTACTTTCTTGTCACAGGAGATGCCATCAGGGATGCAATTAAACCAGCAATGTACAGAGAAGAGGTAAATGCTGCAAGACCCTGATTGTCGTACTTGCAGTAGTTATTTTCATGTGCATGCAATTTCTGTCTGTATACTTCGGGGAAGAACTCCTTTAGAAAGTCATCCATAGATGTAACCCCACCTATTAAGCATAAAACATGCATCAGAAAATTTCTGAATTATTAGGTCCAAGGAAAAAGAAAATAAGAGAGCTGACTAACAACAATAAACTACAATACATTATTGACAGGGTGTAATGTTGTGCATTACCTTAACTTAAGAGCAATTACGCAATTACTAGTATTACGACTATTATCTCAGTTCCACTAATAATTAGACTGAAACAAAAAATTAAGGACACAAATCAAGAAGATGCCCTAAGATAATCTAAATACAGTTTATATATCAGCTAACAATACAGTAGCAATTTCAAGTTTCTCCTTTTATGTTCTTCACAACATGAGTTTTCAAGCATCAAGAATTATCCAATCTGTGTTGTCGAGAATATTTGAAAATTCAGTATAGAGGTGGGCTTCATACTACCGACCTGTCTTTCCTTGTTCACTGTGTTGCACATTTGTATGACAAGGAATGAGCAATTAGATTTGAGAAAAAGTTTTGTGTTTTTATTTTAATTTCCAAAATAACATTTTATTAAAAGGTTTGTATAGGAAATAGTAAACATATATATTTTATTGTTTGCCATTTCTTTTTTCACTGTTTCTTATTTAAACTTTTTAAAATAAGAGACAAAGTAAAAAATAAAGTGACATTTTTCTAATTTAAAAGTGAACTAGTTATGAAAAAAAGAAAATGTTTCCTCAAACAAAATGGATCTGTTAACATGATTCCAAGGCATTAGGCACCGATAAACCTATACATCTTGAAAGTTGTTTATCCAGATCCAGTGCTTGGAGCATGGAAGACTGTTAGGATTTTTATTTTAGATCTTTGGTATTGCAAATGACATGTTCAACCCTGACTAATCCAAGTTGATGAGGGTGAACTTACACCTATTTTCTCCTTTCACTAAACTTGAATTCAAAACCTTGGAAAAAATGAGCCGTTTGTCACCGGATCCATCAAGTAGAGATGACTTCATTAGCACATATGAGGATAATTATCTCTCTTAACAAGCATAAGATATGTAATGAACATGATGATATGTTCAAAAACAGTTTAATTAGGTGGGTTTTTCTTTTGAACGATTGACATGAGAGCTATATAAGAGTCTGAATTGGGAATTGAGGAGCCATGACTGCTCTGTTAAATCATGTGGATTGAACCTGTTTCACAAAACTTGTTATCTAAACAAGAATTGGGCAATAAGAAAGGATTATATTGTCAATTATAAGGTGATGAGGTAATTCACTGTTGGGACTTTGGGTATAACTTTATGTCTTTATCACTGCAGCCAAGGAATCCGTATCTGATTTTAAAGACTAAAAACTACATACAGTACAGTACCTGGACCCTTTTCTAATGATCCTGCATGACAGTTTGAGATGATAATTGGGAATCAAATCTTCTAGAATCATGAAAATAGGGTCAAGATTGTAACAGAAAAGACCAAAATTTTTACATCATGAATTTCTAGAACAGAATCTTTTGTCGGATATGAAATTCACAGCTCAACACCTATCTTGTTAGAGTTTTCTTCACCAGTTTTAACAGCACTAATAGGCATAAATAATAACCAAAATTCATCTGAATAGTCATTCAGAGTACGGATTATGAAAGAACCTGAACATAAAAGAAGAAACCATGAAAATTATGATTCAAAGTATGGAATATGTAAGAACCTGAAATCCCAATATCATAGCCAAAGAGAGACCCTCCTGTGGCAGCAACAATGCAAGCGATGATGACATAAGGGGTGACTCTTCCCTTGTATTGTTCTGCCCTCTCCTTGCTCACAGCACCAGTTGTGAAAGACCCACCTGCCATCTTCTGAATTATCCTTTCTCAGACCACACCAACTTGAAAGGAGAATGATTTTTTTGTCATTCTCAACTACTCAGAATTTATACAAGTCGTACCAACCTATTTGCTGAACAGAGTTAGAAAACCATTATGTTAGACCATGTGATAAAAACTACACTGTATTTAATGCTTCTTTTTGTCCTTTGTTGCACGGGTAGCACACTTCGACATCAAAAACACTTCTACAAAAACTACACATGTTTGTTAAACCATTTTTTATCTGCAGTGACTCAATAAATTTCAGATACATGATGGGTAAAGTTCTTTCTTTTTTAACTCTACCAATACAAACATTGAGAAATATGATGCGTGTTGGTGTTACATTGATTGGTTAGTTCGGTTTGTATAAATGGAAGACTCGGTCTCAGTTACCAACTTGCCTTTCTTATTTCTTTTCAACTTTTGAAAATGAATGACAGTTTTACCCTTACAACTACAAAAAAATTCGATAATATATGCTGAGTGAATATTTCTTTTTCTAGTAATAAAGTTTTGTCATATTAATTTGTTAATTGAATTTAATTGTAAAATATTTATTGGAATTGTAAATTGATAATTTTTATGAAGTATTAATTTTTTAAAAAATTGTCTTCAAATTAAATTTGCTTCAGTCAAATTAATGTATTTAATATATAGAATGAGACAAGTTTAATACAATTAGTTTAAAAAATTTATATATTATATGTTTAAAATGTAAGGTTTTATGAATGCACTCCCTCTATTTCACATTATTGAAAAATCAAAATTAAATTATATTGTTTCTACTAAACGAAGACTGGTTTATTTTAATTTATTTTGAATTAGTTATTCTTGAAAATGACTGTATTTATTAAAACTGTGATTAGAAGTGTTTAAAAAATATGTATTATGTATAAAAGAATCTCAAAGTGGAATAATGTGGGTAATAATAGATAAGAAAAAGACAACGTTTAAGGTAGATTGTAAGGTTGTTTGAGTGATCTCAAAGTGTGTAAACATTTTATAAGTTTATTCTAATTAGTACAGTGGTCTGAATGTGCACGTAATCATTATTTTCTGAAGTTTGATTTGAGTATTTTTTATTTCTCCTTTTTTCTGTTCCGAGAATTTTAATGGCATTTAATAAGATCAGACTTTTGTGGTATATTGAAGGCCCACATAGTGTCAGAGTGTGATACTAATCGGATCAGAGAACGTGTGCTGTACTTTCCCCAATATTTGGTTGAAAAGGATAATAGAGAAAAAGGAAAATAGACAAAAGAGTGTATAAGATTTTATTAAAAGGAAAAAATATATATGTAAGAATGATAATGATTTCGTTTGGTACGAAAAAAATGTTATTTTAAAACAAAAGTAAAGTGCACCTAAACAAATCATACAAATAAATAAAAAAATTGAAAAAATAACATAATGACACTATTTTTGAGCTAGGTATATAAAATGTTCTGTATATTTGTATTTTAATAATGAAAAATAGTTTTAATAAAATAAATAATCTTAATAGTAAATAATTATTTTTGAATTATTATTATTTATTGTTAATCCAGAACTCTTTTATTTGTTTTTATGGTACCTAGGATGCTGTATATGATTATTACTATTTGGAATGGAAACATAATTGGGATTATAGTGATACTTTAGCATTTCTATAATAAGTATAAGGAAATATTTTCTTTTGACCGTAAATCAATATTTTGTTAAGCTATTTTTCAAAGTGGCATATGACAAGTCATTATTTGAAGCCTATTTGAAGAATGATGATCAAATTTTAACTTTACATGAAAACTTGTCTTACCAATGTGTTAGGAACCAAAAACGACTCGGTACGATCCTCCGAGGCTGAGCAGAGAACATGAGTTCTCTTTACTTTTTTTCCCTTCAAATCATTACTCATTGCAACACGTAAAAAGTTGTCATTATTATAATGAAAGGAAAAACAACATGGATTTATAGAAAAGAACAACAAAAACTGGAAGGGGTTACATGCCTTAAAAGAAACAAATAATTTATATTTGCAGGATGTACAATCTCTGTCATGGAATAGTATTTGCCCAGAAGAGGGAATTTCTTACCAAGAAGATTCACAAATCACAACCATGCCACCAGAGCTGGAAAGCAACTTGTATTAAATTGTGTATTTAACTATTCATAAGTTATAATACTCGTACATATACCTCACCCTTCATGTAACCACAAGAATAATAATTGATTCATAGCTACAAAAAGTCAATACAATCGCCATCCTTTGAGCCCCATAATATATATTAATGGAGTTGTTTATATTCAAAATTTAACCGGGTCTCTTTGAATCATTTATAATTGATGTCTTTCTAAATCTTCATTTCTCTGTCATCTGCACTTAATTTTAATTTTTTTACAAGCTGCGCTCCACCACCTGCAAGTTGAACTGCAATCTGCGTTTGAAACTTTCCTACATTCAAGCAGCTGATTGAGATCGTTCTTCAAATATAAGTAAGAAAATAAGAGACTTAGGCACTTTCCCATTGTTTTCCAATCTGCTCAGAGTATGCCACTCAAGAAGCCCCTGCAAGAAATAGATACACCAATAAACAAAAATTGCTTAACATGATTTCCCACAAAGGGATACATACGAAATCATAATGGACTGAGGAAAAGGTTACTAACCAAATCCCTGAGGTTTTCCTAGATTCCTTACTGCAAAATTATCAGACAAACAGTTCAATTCTATTTTGACAAGCATAAATGCTACATGAGACAGTCGGATAAGACGGACTGGGTTTGTAACTTTCAGCTCATAAAAATTAGACATCAATTAATTACCTTGGTTTTCCTTGGAAAGCATCATTAATTTCATCCGTAGTAGGCCTCTGCGAAAATGTAGACAAAATAACATACTTCTCCTTCCCAGGTGATTCATCTACCCTCTTGTACAGCTCATATTGGTATGGGTAAGTCATTCTACATCACAAGAAGTGAATTTACAGTACCATACTCTGTGACTACTACTAGCAGAAGATTAAGAATGTCTTTGTATTTTGAACATATCAAAGAATTAAATATCTTATTTGGTTATGTTTCAACTAGGGAATGTGTTTTTTAACACTCGGAACATGCTAACGAAGCTTTACTTTCAACATTGTCAATTCCATCATCCATTCACCCCTTGTATAGAAGGAAGAGCACATGATAATGTTTTAGAATAGCACCAGCCAGAAGAAACGTGAATCAACTTGATTGGTTTTTAAGAACATATGGAAGCATGATCTTTAATTATTCTATTGTTCCTAAAAAGCCTTTTAGCTATCATACAATCTCATTGGATGTTTTGAGAGGCTTATTCAGTGAAACAAGCCAAGACAAGCATGGCAGTTCAATTATCTTTTTCTCAGTAAACTATGCCTTCTTTTCCTCTCTAAGTCAAGCAATGAAACATAAGATTTATAAAGAAACTTAATGATACAAATATGTTACTGTCTAACCTGATAGCTCCCATTATGGGATACTGGGTTCCTGCATAATACAGAAGTCGAAAGAGGTAACAACTTTCGAAAGATGCCGCATACTTGAGCCTCTGGTCCCTCCCCATTGTCTAGTGATTAAGAAGGCAAAGTTATAATCATACATTTACAAGAATAATTTATCTTCAACTAGCTGGTTTAGTACTCACTTGCATTATACCACTAGAACCAGGCAAATCCTGAATACATAGAAATTGTCAATTTAATAGATGAGCATAATAGAATGCAAAAATATCATTTAAAGAGTGTTGCAGTATAAACATAAAATGATACGAGGACAACGCAACAAAAGATATTTTATGAAAACTAAACAATCCAAATGTATTTTACTCATCAACTTAAAACGGTAATAGTGTAGAACATAATAGCAGAAAAGTAACAAGATATAATTTACTAAATTTTTCTAACAACATAGATGTGTAATACATTGAGTTCTACAAAGAAGTCCGCTATTGTAAAGATGATTCTTAACATCTAAGAATTGAAATCCAAGATAGCCCATGGAATCATTTATTACAATATGCCCCATCTTTGGAACAGTGAGTTCCTAAAGAAGATTAAAGGAATTATAATAAAACTCAGGCTTCAAGTTCGACATGCTCTCCCTCGACCAAATGTCACTTACCGAAAAACAATTCTAACAACCTAACTTCCTCTCAATGTTTCTTCAGTTTGGGGTCCATTTTGATTGGAATTGATAGTAAGGGACAGTTAGGGCAATTATGTGTAGAAAATAACTACTTTAGAAATTTGCTTTTTATTAGAAACTCCAACTCTCCAAGATTGATAGCGCTGATATGTAGAAAATAGCTACTAGTTGTTAATTTTGTACGGAAGTTAAGAAGGTAAACCTTGTAGGACAGAAACTTATTTTGAAGTTCATAATATTAGACAAGTCATGAAGATTAATTTAGCAAAGTTAATCATGGAGGATTTTAGTATCCATTGGTTAAGCTACTGAGAGAAATAGACGCTGGACTTCTGCTGGAGATGTTGAAGCAAGAAATGGTCAACAGCTTTGGTTGGGTTGCAACCTCAAATTAAGCATCAGGTGCAAGCTTTTTGTTGAAAATCAGGAAAGAGTATGTTTATTTAACATAGAAGTTTATACGCAATGGAATATTTAATATAAAAGGAAACAAAATATTTGTTAAGAACTAGACTGTCTAGTCTCAACAGTGTACACATATTGGACCATCTTTGTATATTGTGTTTTGATGATAACAAACTCAATTAAATTTTATGTTAATTGAATGTGTTGTTAATCACTTATAATTCTCTAGTAATTGGTATTATGGTTAAAGCGCTCAAAGCTCATAATAAAATATAATCTTTTACATATATGAACAGCAAACCGTCAAATAATTAGTTATACCTAATAAGGAATTAATCAAAATACATTTACATATCTTTACTAAAGTTAAATTCTATCGCTGACCTATTCTTATATAATTCTCAACTGTTCTATAAACTTAGTGAATTTCATAATCTAGTATAAAATTATATTAAGGATTATATGTGGATTAAAATTAGAACGTTTCACACATCCAATGATTATCTCAAATAATCATATACATTATCTCGAAAACAAAGGAAAATATATTATTTGCTACCAAAATGATACACTTTGTTTTTGCACTATATTTCCTTTTTATCACGTATAACAATATCATTAGAAACAAAACTTTCCTATGAAGAATTTTGAGCGTAGATCAAAGCATGTTACAATAATTATACCTAATAAGATATTGGAAAATCATGACCAAAATTATTTCAGAATATCAAAGTCAAAGATTACTCTAAAATGGTCATATTCTTGAAAATCTATAAAAGACAAAGGATGGTGAATGCAAATGATACAAATACAACATACAAAAATCCTCACAAGCTCTAAACTCAAGCTTATAGTTAAAATACTGTGTTAAAAAGTATAGAAGTTGAGAGAAAACCATAGTTATATTCTTCACTTGTTATGCTATTCCTAAGTCAAGAGCCTCTATCTTATATATCCTCTCTTAGAGAGTTACCTTTGTTGTTTCACCTCTTTCATAGCCAGATATGGAAGTTAAAAATACTTGTAGTTCTTTGTCTCGAAAGGAGATTAAGAAGGAATAGGCAAGAATGACTTGGTATACTCAATCACCAATTTAATTATAATCGTACCTTTTAAGCATGTTAGAAAGAAAAATTGAACATAACCCAAAGTTGGGATAAACTAACATAAAATGATCTGCCTTTGTTCTTCTGTTATTTGATATATACGTTTATCCATCAAACGGTCTACTCAACTGAGCAAAAGAAAATAGTCTCAGACTCAATTCAGCCCCCCCTTCTAGAGTCAACTTGTGTCTTGAATATCCTCTAATTATTTGTAATTAATACAGAAAGCCTAGATAAACCAATATCTGTGGTGTGTTAGAAGACAATATTTTACAAAATTTGATTCCAATCAAGCTATGCAGTATGGCCATAGTAAAGAGGCAGAAAGAAATGAACTTGTGTTTGGAACATGGAGTGCAAGTTGGCATGTCAAAATGGATTTTCTAGCCGTATGTCAAGTCCATTATAATCGTTTTATGGTCTGTAGGGTCAATCATAACAACAAGATTACCGACAGGTGGAATGGAAGCCAAAATCATTTCAATCTAGGTTCAAACTTGAATGTCAATCCATCTGACCAAAATAAGGGCACTTCATAATATGTGGCATTCTTGAATAGATATAGTGAACAAAAAAATTCAATAGAGAAAAATAAAGACCTCCGCCATTTAGCCTACCTAGAATTGATGGAAACGAAAAGCCAGGGGTTTAGGGAAATTTGCCATCCTTACATCAATATGAGGAAAAACAATTAAGATTGATAACATTGAGAGATAATGAAGCCCTAAACAAATATGAAGAAGCAATTACCATTGAAGTGGATACAGTATGTGAATGTACCAGATTCCAACTTCCAACCTTGGAGAGTGATAGAAACCAGTAGTATTTGAAAGGAAATAGATTATATTCTAGGAGAACAACTCCTTTACAGCAACAATATAATTCCATATTAGAAAGGGAAACCAGGTGTACCTACCCACATCAGGTCTACTCTTGGATATCTTATAATCATTTACTATAGCGATTTGGCTATCTCTTACTATATCTCCAATAAGATATTTAATTACAATAACATAAGGCTTAATATTATCATATCATTAGTCCTAGAGATAGGCTACCAAAGGCTATATAAGAGCACCTCCATAATAGGGAGACTGACTTCAACTCATACTCGCTCTTATTATTTACATTATATTCTTATTATTCTCTTGCTGATTTAGGCGGTGGAATGTCGTTTACAGGTGGGTCTCCATTTGGTTCATGCTTATTCCTCTTCAAAGTTGAGATCATTTCTCGTTGTTGTCAATGACTCGACTTACAAATTAAAGATCCCACCTCTTTAACAACTTGGTTAAAATTGTCCTATTTCAATTAGAGCAACAGGAAAACAGAAAATAGCAATGTAGCAAAGATAGCAGTTAGAGCTACAAAACACAACCTTTGTCCTCAAGGCAAATGTCTAACCAATTTACTCACAATTTTTGTTGCCCTCCTCCTACTCTATCCATTACTTTGTAAACACATCCTACACTATCTTTCCCATCGTAGTATTCTACTTTGTTCCGTTACGCTTATGAGTCACATATTGCTTAGGAATTGAAACCAAAAATAGTTTATATACACATTTCTCTCTTAACCCACCGAAATGATTTTTAAGGACAAAACCGTGACGGACGAGAGCTCTAAAGCAGACAATAGCTCAGATGTGGGAATTGACCCTAATGATGTTATCATAGCAGACATGAGGTTGAAACACTCTCGTTCTTAGATGAAACATTAGTGCCTACCGCGGAGTCGAGAGTAGAGTCTCAATCCACTCATACCCCGACATGAGGTTGAAACACTCTCGTTCTTAGATGAAACATTAGTGCCTACCGCGGAGTCGAGAGTAGAGTCTCAATCCACTCATACCCCTTATTCCTCAACTAGGGGGCTTATGTTCTGGTACGCTCATGAGTCCTACATTACTTAAGAGTCGAGGTCAAGGATAGTTTATATACACCTTCCTCTCTTAACCCACCGAGACACCTTTTAAAGACAAAAGACTAGAGTTCAAAAGCAGACAATACCTTAGACATGGGAATTGACCCTAACAATGTTATCATAGCAGACATGAGGCCTGGACACTCTCATTCCTAGATGGAATATAATGTCATCTGGCCATATGGACATTTTGTTATGCATATTACCCATTATGATTTTGCACTTCCAAGCTTAGCTCGTTTGTTCTCAGCCCATCTTCTTTCTTTTACCCCTCCTCTTATAAACAAGGGTTAAAGGCCCGAAGGTGAAAGCAGATTTTCAGCAATCAGTAATGATAAGAACTGATTGTCAAGTACAGTTATGGTAGTTATGTGAAAATAACTGCTTTAGGAATCATTTTTGTATTAGAAACTTTGATATATGATAGTTTATATGTGTAGAAAAGAACTGCTAGGAGTTAATTGTGCTTTAGCAATTGCAGGATGGCAGTTGTGTAGAAAATAACTTTTGGCTTTTTTGTATTACTAGCATATATCTAATAATAGTACGCTGTGTAATTAGGTGGGTGAAGTTATTTTCAGTTTGTTGACAGAATACTTGTTGTATTAGATTTCTGCCTAAGATAGCAAGAGTATTACTGTATTTGTGTCCCAATACACTTTTTGTCCCTGGGATAACCAGTGTATTACTGCATTGAGAGTGATTTAGTGTTCCATATTATCTTTTATTACTTTTATCAATTGGTTTTGTATCAGACTTTGACAGGACCTAGTCCAGTTTCTATTTCTCCTTATATAACACACTTAATAGGAAGTCTAACAGCCTATTCCTTGGTTCTATCCGAAATGAAATTGCCTTTGATCAAGACATGTCCAATCTTCCTTTCAGTAGTTTTACACATCTCATCAGTTTATACAAAAAGATGGAAATCGTTCAAAAAGTCATTTATCATCATGCAATAGTACCAGACTAGACTATTTGGCAATTAGTTTCTGTGTATGAACTGATTATATGAATTCCATGTTCCAATGGAGCTAGGTCAACCATGCATGTTATGAAAATGACAGTACTGTGTCAGATCCAGGTTATCTTCATGTCACTAAGTCAAGACAATCTGAAAAGCAAGCTGTTAATCATTCAACAATTTCATTAAATAAATTTGATCTATAATATAAGAGCTAGGAACTGAACCTTAAGCCTAGCATTGATTAGAATAACTGGTCTGTGTTCAGCAGCATTGGTCATCGCTCTTAGATCCTGTATTTACAACCTCATCATATTGAAGAGATAAAGAGAGAACAGCCCAGGGAAGTTGAGAACGCATGTATATTCCATCAAGAAAAAGGGTAAAAAGACTCAACAAATAAAATCTCTAATATATGTCTGTAAACCTCCCACAGTATTCACTTACATCAATAATACAATTCCCCACAGCATTTTGAGGAGCCACTAAGATATACATGTCATCTTGCTCCTCAACCTCAGCAGCACCTGGGATTGGAAATTCATGCATTAATGTGATGCCAAATATATCACAGCAGGAAGGAAAACAATTTGTAGCAAAAAGCAAGAGTTCGATAGGAAGTTAGGAAGCAAAGATCACATTCGATCAGGATCACACGTATAAATGTTTCACTTTTTCCCATTTATACGGCATGCATATATGATGGTCTGCAGTTAATTCTTTGAGTGTGAAGTAAGCACTTAATATAGGAATTGCAAAAGGAAGCTGAAAATGATTTTCTGATTATTTCGGCATATATTAGTAAAATACTAGTTGACTTGAAATAGGGTTAGACAAATGGATGACAAAGAAAATAAATAGAGAGAAGTAAAGTTTGATATCAAGACTTCAGCTAAAATCTGGACAGTGGCATTTCGTACAAGGGGAATTTTCAGTACCCTGTGAATCTTAAGTTGGTGAAGTTTGTTTCTTATATTTGGTTTATTTTTTAAAATATAACATTCCTAGAAAACAATGTTTTCTTTGAATGTTCTCCAGCTATGTTTCCCGCCAAATTATTTTCAATGTGATAAGTTCCAGTAAAAATACCACATTACATTTTATACCAGAAAAATATTCTTAGGAATATTTATGATCAACCAAACAATTTTAGTTATTTCTAGGAATCATAATCATCAAGACTGATATACCTATAGAACCAATATTGATGAAGGTTCCTTTTGCTCCATAATCACCCCAGTCCATGAACTCTAAAATCTTACGAGTTCCAGCAAGCTGCAATGGCATTCCAGCAAGAGCACCATCACCCATCGACCCTTGTACACAAACCTGCATGATGAATATTGAGATAAATTAATAATAATAATAATAATAATTACATCTAACATTTACAGAGAATAGCATCATTTTATTCTGGACAATGGAAATAGTTTATGTTGGAAAAAAAGGAGTATCAAAGATACCTTCACCCGTTTCCCATCATCTGCAAAAGAGAGGGCAAGAGCTCGAACAAGTTCCATCAAGGTACCTATTCGATAAACATCCTGTAAACCACAATATGTGGTCAAATCAAAACATTTAGAGAAAATAAAAGAAAACAGATGTCCATACCATTTCTGGGTTCAGTTCAGGAATGTTGATGTCAACCTGTTACATTTGGAATGACAAAGCATATATTAGCCTAGGATTCAAGGGAATTAAAAATAATATCACTCAACATATATGATAAAAATCTTAATATTTTTCCTTCTGACCTTCCTTCCCGTCATTCACCTCAGTTATTACTCTTTAACATAGAATTATGCATGCAGAAAGAATGTAGTTTCTTTATTTTTATTTTTATTTTTTTTAAGTAGGAAGTGTGATTGCATCACTATGTTATAAAGCATCCCAAATAACAACAATCATCTGCAAAACCTCAAATATCATAAAAAAGAAAAATCAATACAAAAGTGGGGGAATCAAACCAGACTCACTATGTCAACCTATAATGTGGTAGCAAGAAGCGGTCTCTAAAGATTCCTGGATTAATAAACCTAGGCACATTATCCCACCATTGATCTAGTCCCAAAGTCAGTTAATCTATCTACACATGGTTACCCTCTCTAAATACACGGGTAAATGAATGTTCAAATCTTTAACTGCTTTCATACAGTCAACCACCAATATCTGATCCTCCAAGGCGTAATGCTGTTGTTTTTTAGCACCTGAATAATAAAAGATGAATCACATTCTATCCAAAGGAAATTCCATCTTCTCGCTATTGCAAAATCTCAAATGCAAGAATAGCCACTGTAGCTTCCGAGCATATATAGCAGTATGTATACCAAGAAAAGAAGTAAAGCAGCCAACTACCATGGCCCTCAAATCTCCAAGAATACCTCCACAACCAGCTCTACAGGTGCACCCTTAGCAGCTCCATCCATGTTATATGAACCAACTAACAGGAGGATATATCCAATAAACTGGAATCACTTCAGAGAACTTACAAGGATGAATAGCCGCATTAAAATGTCTCAGGGTCATAAGTTCTTGTACACTAGAGCACATACAACCAGTACAACTATTACCAAGTCTGTGAATGTTAGCAAAAATAGAGTTCTTCAATCTTCTGTAATTGATTGTGCCGTTGTGATGAAGACCAATCCCCTGTGAGCCAAATGTGATGAAGAGCATTAAAGATAGCAGCCTGTTACATGGTTTTAACCCAAATGCTCCATTCATGTGAGAGAAAATTTAAAATGGAATCAAATGAAACAGAGACCATATTTCTCCTAAAACATTTACCTAATCATGATTGTTGAAAGGATTAGTGGGAAAACAGGTTTCGGAGGATGGTATCGCTGTGATACCATGTTGAAAAGGGAGAAACCAAGAAGGAATATGGTACACTAAAGGAACAAAATCAATATCTAATAATGGGAAATATTTGGTAAGATATTTCCCTATCATATCATACCTCCCTAGTTAATGCAATCATTTGAGAAAAGCTTGTTAAAAATGTCACCAAGACAAAAACCCTTGAGAAAATCATGTCAGCGAATTGGTTGGAGCTAATAAAGTAAATAATGGTAAATGATAACTGTAATAATGACCAAAGCTGAGTAGCTAGGTTTCAATGAAGAAAAATATGTTCTGCAGTTTCAGCAGCTAAACCACAGAGACAACACCCTAGTGACAAGCACCACACCTCTCTTAGTTCGATTATCTTCTGTAGGAAACCTATTTAACATGATCATCCACATGAAAAAGGATAAGAAAGGATGGATAAAATCGATCCAAATAAGCTTGTCCCAAGCTAGCTGATCATTCAAAGGAGATAGAAAAGCATACGTTTCTTTTAGACTAAATTCTCTATCAGCAGAGTGATTCCACTTTAGCATATCAGGAGTTTCAATTTTAGGCAAGATCACTTGATTGACAGCCTCCATATGATCAACACTTTTGTAACTAATTTCAAAGGGAACGTCCCATCTATTATCCATGATAAAGTGTTTTACCAAAGCTTTAAGTTCAGATCTGATAGCCAATGGAATTCCTAACCAATCTGCAACTGAAACAGCAAGCAACTTATGCAGCCAAAAGTTTATTTTACCACCATTACCTACTTGCCATGTTGAATTGATCATGATGTGTTTAACTTAACCACAAGGATGATTTGACATAGGATAAAGTAATAATAAAACTGCCTTTAAAGATTATGCCTAAGTATTTTAGCCCACTTCAGATCAGTAGAAAATCCCATGTTTGCTTCAAGGTTGCAGCCTGGTTCAACATTAAGAGAGATCTTACACCAATACCCCCCTTAGCCACCAAAAGACAAGTATTTTTCATGTTACTGTGACTGCCTACTGTTAGAAATCTCCCCAGTTGATATGAAGGTTCGAATTTGCCATCCATCTCTTTTAACAAACAGACTTGCCCACTGTAAATCAAGTTAGACTAAAAGCAGCTTTCTTCACTTCTGCCAATGTAGGAATAGCAGTAAGCATGTTGTTTTCCAAATCAGTGACAACTTGAGGAATGCATTGCAGTAGGAGACCATTGTTAGTTATTGACTAGGTTGATTGAAAAGAGTCACATAATATTGTAGAATATGATTTTGCAGATCATTTTGATTTGATATCACAGAACTGTCAAAGTTAAGGAACATATTATTCTGAGAAGCCTATTTAATTTTAGCAGCCCAGTGGAAATATTTTGTATTTTAGTCACCTTGCAATTGCCAATTCAATTTTTCCTTTTCCTTCCAAAACTCTTTCTAATAGTGCAATGTCAAGATAAACCAATGCCTCCTTCAAAATTACATCCTCCAAAGGGCCATATTTATCAATAATGCTCTGATAGTGTTTTAATCTGTCCATTGTTTTTCATTAACACTTTTATTCCAAAAACACCTTCTTTCCAGGCCATGAAACGAATTTTCACCTCCTTTAGTTTGTGTTAAGATAAACATAGGGCAGCCCACACAACTGACCCCCCAACCTTCCCCAACAGTTTTGTGGCAATCCGGATGCTTAATCCACATAGACATAAATTTGAATGAGGGAAGCCTATCAGCATGCCTAGCTTGCATCATAATGGGCATATACCAGACTTAGATCTTGGTAACAAAGCACATCAAACAATCCACATTTAAATATAGAACATTTTTCTTGCCGCAGAATAAGTAAGAATGGCAATGGTTAAAGGTATTGCACGAATCCAGAGTCACTCAAATATTTGGAAGCATTAACTAGTTGTGATAGTTTTGTCATACCTTCAACCTAGTTTTACCATCATTTATTGCCCTCTCGGTAGCTTGTAGCACATCGTCATAGAAATATTTCCTGATTTCTCGAGAATGAGGAATGTTGTTTAGTCTAGTAGGAATCCCTCTCCACTTATCCTGTAAGAAGCTAAGGCAAAATAAGAAACAATATACCAAGGATGCTTTTATAGCACACAAAGGAGGAAAGTATTCAAAACTAAACAGGCATATGCCTTTTACAAAGTACAACCATCTACCTGGCTCAAAGATGTCCGTCCTTTCTTTGTATCAAGAATTGATTTTTCTGAGTTAAATGAAGTTAGTAAGTGACCTTAACAAATATGAATTGTTCCTGCTTATTGCATAGCAAAAACCCATATCAAGATGTCCAATATTATTATCATCTCATGTAATGTGTGCTCCCACATATCATAACAAACTGGACTAATGGAAAGGAAAACCCTCTTTTTCCTCAAAATCAACCAATCAAAGCATCATATTTCACCCAAACAATTCACTAAATTTCCCTTTCTTCAAATTCATTTAGAATTTTCCTCAAATTTATACCCAATTTCCGGATTATGAACCATCTACATAATTTCATATTTCAAGTTTGTCCTAGATCCCTAATTATTTACAAGAAAAAAGGGTTTTGGATGGTTTAGGTAATTTAATCTTAGAAAAGGGTTAGACTCAACCATTAAAAATTTCGGGAAATTAAGTTCTATCAAAGAGTTATTAGAGGACCAAAATTGTGCATTAGCTATTGTGGAAGGAACATAAGTGGAATTAAGATTAAAATTTGTTTATTAAATATCTTGTCCAGAATCTGGAACACCCTCCCACATTAGTAGATGAACTACATGACTTCAAAATATAAGGGTCCATTTTTTTCATAAAAGTAAAACATATTTTCTCTCTTTTTATTTTTAATTTATAAATAGTTACAGATATACCACTCTGCTTTCACAGTTTTTTGTAAAAAAAGTTTCTAACAAAAAAATGGAAACAATGTCTAAAGTTTTTTTTGAAACTAAATAGAGTCTAAATTTACAATTCCCTACATATATATCATGGATGATGTTTAAACATGCTCTTGAAGCCTCATACATACCTCCAGATTTTATTATTTTCACTTTATCCTGCTGCAATTGAGATAACAAAGATTCAATTTCTTTAAAAACTGCTTCTTTTGAATGGCCGCCATCAATCTGTACATATGACAAATAAGTTAAATGTGAGTAAATGCCCCACCCACTGGTTCACGTCAAGACATAAGATAAACATATGAGAGTGCTAATAGTCTCCAATGACCTTATGAGTTATATTCGAGTAAGAGGAAGATATGGCTTCTGCGTTTTGCTTATATATGTTTAGGCGAGATTTGACCTGAAATGCAATAGATAAGTATACACAAGTACTGCACAAGGATGCTAAATCCACTTAAATGTTAGCGGGGAAAATGTAATCTTAAATAACAATACGACAGAAGCTCACTAAGATGAGCTTCATGACTACATGATACATTTTCTGCTTCCAAACTAAGCATTGAAATAAGAAAAAACAAAAGCTAATGCAATGTCACACTATAGACTTGAAGCATAAACATGCACAGCGAACATATGACAATATGAGGATCCGACATTGCAAGCTCCTGAATACATTGTAATATTTTTAAAAATTATTTGCAGTGATCCTTTAGAACTCCTCCCTTAAACATCAATGATAATTCACCTATTCATACAACTATGAACTCTGAATGCTGTTACTACTTACCAGAGAAGGGAATTTTTAATTGCAATAACCCACACCTTGCCTATTGAAATATGGAGGGAAAAGAAACAAAATATAAAAGAAATGGAATTCGAGAATACAGCACACATTGAACAGTTCATGCGCATGATTGACACCATCATTATAATGCAATTATGCTGACACATAAAACTTCTTTCTCTATTCAGTTGAAATAGTCTTCAAAATACATTATGATTATATGACAAGATTTGTAAGTTTTAATAAATATTGTGATAAAACTTGCCATGCAACAAAATCAAAATCTCATCAATGGCAACGAGTATTTAGGAGATAATTTCATTCAGGGTTCATCTTTTCCATCTGCTAATGAGTAAAAATAACAAATACATTTTCAAATAAAAGGAGTACAATCATACCTTCTCTTCAGTGTCGTCAGGTCGTGTTATCAGCCTTGCTTTAATTTCTTCAGTCTCCGGTGGAAAAAATTTTAGATGGTATATGTTCCCTGTCACTGGGTCTAGCCTTCTGCCAACACATCTGTCGATCAGAATTTCATCAGGAACCTGAGTATTAGAAAATTTAATAACTTAGCGGCGAAGAAAATCTATAGATTTCTGATTAGCATCTACTGCAAACAAAACTCTAGGTAATTATATAACATGTAACATGTCAATAATACCAACTGACCAAGTCCTATGCCTATTAACATACACTTACTTTCTCTTCCATCTCTTTTTCATCTCATTTTCTTCTATCTCTCTATTTCTCATCACATCACTTATCACATTTGTCACTCTCTCTTCTTTTTCTTATTCATTTTAACTCCACCCTCATGCACCAAAAAATGAGGTGTATGTTCCCATTTCTCATGAAAGAGGTCACATTTGTACTAACAATGAAGAACTTAAAATAAATAAATAAATCCTATTAACCTTCGACAATATTTTAACTTGTCATTGCAATCAGATGAAATTTCTTCGCAATATTTTACGCTGTGCAAATTGTAATCAAATGTGGCTTGGGGTGGCAGAGACCCCAAAAACCTTGAAATTGGGAACCATTTTTTAAAACTTTATCTTGAAAACAGATGCAAAAATTTTGCAGCTGAGGTTTATGAATAAGGATAATAAATAAATACTATAAACGTTTGACATACATCTAATACTATATACACATCGGGTCGTATCTGCATTTTTTCCAGACTCTGGGCCTGAGCCAAACTCCGAGGGTACCCATCAAGAAGCCACCCGTTTTGCTTAGCATCTTCACGAGACAATCGTGCTGCCACCATCTACAAAAGAATGTCCATTAACCAAACCATGCATTTTATTTCATGGCTGAAAGGCGAGTTTTGATTATATTATACAGATGTCACAATTTCATCAGGAACCAGGTGACCCGCGTTCATGAACTCCTTCGCTTTTTTCCCAATTTCAGTCCCAGCTGCCACTTCTGCTCTTAGCAAATCCCCTGTTGATATGTGCACCAATCCAAACTGCTCAACAGCGAAGAAAAAATTAGTACAACATCAAATACATAATTTACTTATTTAAGGTAGGAAATTTTAAATTTAACTTTTTCCTAAATTAAAATTAATTTGTAATTTACACAAATTTTCTTTTATAGTTTTTCTAAAATCTCATTTGATTAGATGAGTTTCTTCCTAAAACTTCTACAAATTATATATATATATATATATATATATATATGAACTGAGCACTGAGAATTTCTAAAAAAATAATAAAATGATAAAATATAATAAAATGGACTGCTTACAAGTTATAATTATTTTATACATAAGTTAAAATATAAAATAAAATATGCAAATTATATAAAATATTTTTTACAGATTAATTTATACATAATCTAATTTAATAATAAGAAAAACTAATTTTATTTTTCTAAATATTTTTCCTTCAAACAACCCTTTATTCTTCTTGCTTATCATTCATTAAAGTACTTCTATTGAAACGGAATGGCACATGACATGTGGTGGCAACGAACCTTTTGGACAATCAATTCACATTGCGTGCCTTTGCCGGAAGCAGGTGCGCCTGATATCATGACCTTCAGAGGCTCGCTGGCGGAACAATTCACTTTGAGTGTCTTGTTAAAAGATGATGACATGTGTGAGGAAATGTGCGTGGGTGTAAGAAAGCGATGAATAAATTAAATGATAAATAAATGGAACCTTGAACGGCGATAGGGTGTGGCCGCGGAGGTTGCTTGAGCGAAGAGGTTGTGTGCGGAAGGAGAAGTGGCGGAGGTGTAGACATGAATGATGAGTTGAAGAAGAAGGAAGGGGAGTGGATAGAAGAGAAGGAGAGGGAGTGAGAGTGGTGGCGCGGTGGAAGGAGGTGGCTGAGGAGTTCAACATTTCTGCTTTGCCTTGGATAATGAGCCAAGGACTGGACTTAGTTGAGCGGTTCAGAATACTCACATAACTAAAAAATGCATTTATTTTTCTTAAAAATTTAATAATTTAAAATTATATATAATTTTTTAATAAAACGTATAAAAATCATCTTTTATCCATAACATTTTTAATTTTTATATTTTAAATTTAAATATTTTATTTTATAATCTTTTATTTAAATTTTAGTCAATATAATTTTAAAAATTAATTAGTCACTTAAAACATCTCTATAATAATTATTTAATCAAATTACTTACACAAATAAATAAAAGAAAATAAATGATAAAAGAAAAGAAAATAAATAAATACTTTTTTTACAAAAAGAAATAATAGAAAAGAAAATAACTTTAAAAAAAATTAATAGAATAAAATTAACAATAAATTAAATAAAAATTATGTCGGATCGTAAATCTCTTATTATTATTATTATTATTATTATTATTATTATTATTATTATTATTATTATTATTATTATTATTATTATTACATTAAATACTTCGCCTATAATTGTGTTCATGTAAAGTTATTCAAACTTCTGATTATATGAAAAGCAGGTCTCTTTTAAATTTGTGTGTACTCATTATCGTCAAATGTGCGAGTGGGACCAATTGCGGCATGAGTGAACCACAAACAATAGCCATAAATTATGTCGAGAGAGATCTTATTCTTACCTAGTTATGTGTTTAAAAGAAATTTGTTACACTTTCATTGAAATTGGAATTTTTGAAGGGAAGGCCATAAAGATCTGAATTACATTCCCAAACATCAACTACCAACAATAAAATTTACATGCTTCAGATGCCAAGAAACTTATCAATTACTAACTACATCATGCAATGAATCTGTTTTTATATCTGGCAATGAGTCAAGCAAAACAGAATAAAATAGCTGCAATAAGTTTACTATGTTCCCTAACAAATGAAATAAAATAAAGTAACATAAAATTGAACAATTCAAGGGTCCTCTTGATAAAAGCTGTTCTCTGTAGCGGTGATTTGTGAGCGAGTTAAGTCTTCAATCCAACTTGACTGAAGAGAACAAGTAATGCACGAACCAGAATGAAGAGAGGAACCCAATTGTACCTGTAGAGAGCATGATTGCTAGAACCATGAATAGTGAGTATCCCAAGTAAAGAGTTGCAGACACAGGACCACTCAAACTCTTGAGATCAAACACAAGATAATTAATGGAGTACAAAAAGATATATATGGCAACAGAACCGGAGGCAAAGAAAGATTTCCACCACCATTTCCAATCCTCCACACACAGGTGCATGTAAGTCAGAACTAAAGATACCTCAGCACAAACCACCACAAGAAGGATCAGAACAACAAAGAGAAAGCCGAAGACATAGTAAACTCGACCCATCCAAATGCTGGACATGATAAAAAAGAGCTCAATGAACAAGGTGCCAAATGGAAGGGTGCCAGCACCAAGAACTAACAGCCATGATGGGTACTTCTGCTGGGGAATTTCACGAGGAATTTGGTTGGTTCGGACTGGATATTCAATGTGGGGTGCCTTTGCTCCAAAGTACCCACCAACAAGGGCAAGGGGTACAGATATGCAGAACCAAAGCAAGATTAGTATCACAAAGAGTGAAAATGGAATGGCTCCGGTGCTGTGACTTCCCCACAGAAGGAAGTTCAAGGTTGTGAGGATCATAAAGGAAATTCCTGGGAAGAAACATGCAGCCTTCCATGCGATCGAAACCCAGCCTTTCTGATCGCCAAAGCCAATTGTCCTCCACATCCGAACTGAGACATAACCAGCAGCAATACCAAGTATCATATAGAAAAACAGCATACCTGTGATCAGAGTTCCGCGAGATGCTGGTGACATGAATCCTAGTGCAGCAAACAAAATTGTCACAACAGACATGCCAAGAATCTGAACCCCATCCCCAACCATCACACACAACAAAGCAGGATTAGATGGAGCACGGAAAACATCTCCCACTACAAGCTTCCAACCAGATAACTCTTCATTCATCTGTGCTTGGGCCTCTTTGTCGAGGTCCTCATAACGGGTCAGATCCCTCCTAACAGTTCTCAGAAAGATCACAAGAACAATACCAGCAAGAAAAGTGATCACCATAAGTGAATTAAGGATAGAGAACCAATGCACTTTAGCACCCTCCATCTTTAAGTATGCATCCCATCTAGATGGCCACTTGATGTCACTCTCCTCAAAGGTGACCTCGTAAGTGAAAACAACAGGCTGACCCTCTTTGATAGGCATTGCCACAGTGGCTGGATCGCATCGGATAGAGGACGGATACTTGTCATACATCTTCAAGGTTTTAGCCAAATCGGCATTGTGCATGATACTGCAAGGAATCACCTCAAACCCAACAACCATGTATCCAGGATTCTCAGAAGATCCTTCCTTGCCAACTGGGATCACCTCTGCTCCTTCACCGGTCCCCATTACACGAGCCACATCGGTTTCCTCATACTTATGGACAAGAACATTGAACTTGAGATGGTTAAACAGATAATACGCATTATCAATCTTAATACCAACAGGGTACCCCGTCCATCTCATGAAGTACCCTTCTTTCTGTGTGAACCTAATAGCTGGTAAATTATCAAGAATCAAATTAACCTGATACATCTCATCAATCCTCTCCTTCAAGATCTTGAACTGATCCCCAGACAATGCATCCACCCCGCACAAGTAAATCTCAGATTCATTGGTGTACATCTTAAACCTGTAAGGAGAGTTCTCTATTCTGTCCCCCATGAGGAGTTCCCCAAGGTTCTCAGCACTGTCCTTGATACCTCCCTCAGGCTCGCAAAAGGGCAAACTGTAATAGCTAAAGGGCATCTCTGTGTCAATGGAAGTGAGGGAATTCACTTTCACCCACAACTCATCTGTGACACCATACTTGTGGGGATAACTACCCGGAAGATAAAAACCATAATTGGGTTGAATTTGAAATGTCAAGCACAAGATCAAGACCACCCACAACCCAAGCTGCGCCATCTTTGCAAGATTCACAGGGGATCCGTGCCAGATCTGACAGACCCAGATACAGCAATGAGCAAAAAAGAAGAATGCAGATAAGATAAACTAACTCTTAACTAGTGTATGCCTTACAGGGTTAGAGATATGCAAATTGTTGTACTATAACTCCACAACAGAAACGAAATGGGAATGTGAATTTGACAAATGAAGAAACAAAGATGAACAAAAAAAAAAAAAATTAAATTTTTATGACTGACCTCATGCACAGAAATGTGACTTGTCAATTAAAAGTCTGAGCGCATGAAAGAAATGAAGATTTTCTTCACGCACTGCAGAGGAAGGGCGAAGAATCGGAATGAATGAAATGCAAAACCAAGCAATGTAGACTATGTACCAGATATTGCATGTTTAAATATTAATGGTTGGTTTTGTTTCACTTTCCTTAAAGAGATGTTCACTGTGCTGAGGGAGAGTTGGTAAATGACATTAATACCCCCAACCTTGTGAACAATGGCCAAACTCCGAAATCCCGTTGTCACACCACTCACCACCGTTTCGAGTAATCCAGTATCCACCGACACCGACACTCCCTCTATCGATTGATTTATTTTTTCAATATTTCCACTAACTTTTTTGTCTGGATCAAAATTAGTAATATTTAGCTCATAACAACCACAGCGTCACACCTTTCAACATATTTCTATGACCTAAAATTTATGAAAAATTGCAAAATCAAGAATATTAGGTTATTTTATTTAATTTTATCTTTAGCTCTTTTTTAAATTACTTACAACTCTAATTTAAAAATATACTTAGATAATTTAAATAAAAGAGAATGGTATTTTCGATAAAAAATTAAAAATTAATTTTGATTTCTTTCCGGAAATATTGTTAGTAAAAGAATATAAAATTAAAATTAGAAACTATGAATTATATCCTTTTATTTTAAAAAATTAAAAATAAAAACATATTTTGAAAAATAAAGTTTTAAATTTTTAATTAATTTTTAAAAAACTAAAAAAAATTAAAAGTGATTTATATAAATGAATGTTTTTTGTGTTAAAAGAAATTAACTGTAAAATTTTAGAAATGTATTTTTATTCAATATAAAATTTGTTTAATTTTGTTAAATTAAAATTAATTTTAAATTCTAAATTATAGTTTGATATAAATTTAACATATGAATGTTTATTTTTAACTAATATTTTAAGATGATTTGGAGGATTAAAACTAAATAATACATAATAATAAGAAGTTAATAAGTTATTATTTTAAAAAAATGTGTCAGTAAGTAAAAAAATAATGAATAATAAGTAATTATAATAATTAATGTATACCAATTAGAATATTTTTTTAATATATATATATATATATGAAATAAATTATAAAGTGTACATTAAATTTTGTTGTTATGTTTTTATATATTGTTTTATGTAATTAGAACAAATTTAGGAACTATGTGTTTAGAATTATAGTGTGATATATTAGACAACATTATATGTCCTGCAATAAAATCATTTATGAATTGATTTCAATCAATTTGTTTTACCAATATATTGAATGAATAACAAAGTAAACTAAATATATAATTAAATCTTATTAATATAAAATGAATACAAAGTTAATAAAAATTATTATTATATTTTTTATGATTATTATAATATGGAATGACTATCGAACCGTAACTTGAGCATACAAGTAAGGGAGGCACGAGAGCACTAGCTCCCAGGGGGAGAATACCAGAACATGCAAACAAAACGTGACATCTTGTTATACAAGGAATATTTGACTAATAATCTTATGAGATATTGCTTCTGCAACTATAAAGGACAATTATTAGCTTAAATCTAACTCATTTGACTAATTTGTTTTATACAAATATATTTTTTAATTCGTATAAAGAGTATAAAAAAATAGATTTATTTCAATGCACTAATATTAAAGGTTATCTGAACTAAAAATTTTGTGATTTAAATGAATAAAACTTATTTTATTTCAATCTATTTAAATTTAAATTAAGTTAATTTGTGAGTTCTATATATATATATATATATATATATATATATATATATATATATCTAATAAAAAAATTAATTATTTTAAGAATAAATATAAAAGTAATTTTTAATATCTGTTAGTTAAAATAAATTATTATTTATATTAATAAATTAATAAAAATAAATGATAATAATAATAATAATAATAATAAAAAATAAGTTTTTAATTCTTATTTTAAAAATAAATTAAATTATTATATATAAAATAAAAATTAATTTTATTAACATAATTTAAATTTAAAAAATAATTTTTAATTTTATTTAAATATTTTTAATTAATTATATTGATATAAACACGTTGATGTTAATTTGTTGTCTATTATAAAATTAGAAAAAAATTTATAATTCATTTTAAAATATAAGTCAAATTAAATTATAATTTTTTTTAACTATCCAATGCATTCATTTTGACTATCTTATATAACTAATATATAAAAATACTATTTTTTAAAAATAAATATAAATATTATTTTTTAATTAACATAAAATCATAATTTAAAACCTATAATTATTCAATAACATGAGTTATTTTTAAAAAATATTTTTTATATTTCAACAGTTTTAGGCTCCCCTTAAATACATTATTTAATAAAAGTCCCCGTTGTTAAAAATTATCGATAATCTTGACTAATCTTTAAGAAACCTAAATTTATCCTCCGTTTGTAACTCCGTTATTTCCTTACCATTTATAATCCTCGTTACTTTATCGTAATTTCGCAGTTTAATCCCATAATGTCAAAAATACTTTTCCAATGATTTTACATTAAGATTTAATATCGTTAATTCATCGTATCAAATCTTTGATTAATGTTAAAATACGTAATAAAAACTAAAGAAATTAAAACAAATATTTTACAATGTTTATATTTATAATTAAAATTAGCATTCATAAAAGAACGAAATCTATAACATAATTATATCCCAAGAGAAAAATATTCCATGTAAGTCATGTTTTTCAACATGATGATGTTATGGAGGTCCAAACAATTGACCGTGGTTGCGACCTTTCATCCCTGCATACCCATGCCACCACCTTCGCTTAGCATTATTTCATTCTATTATAAATATTTTATTAAATTTAATCTCACAAGCTATATATATATATATATATATATATATATATATATATATATATATATATATATTTTTTTTTTTATTTCACTCTTTTCTTAAAACTTTAGCATGTTTATTAATTGTTGTGATTTTATCTTGATTAACCTATCTTCCTCTTGCTTCCTTATTGGCTTTTCAATGAAAATTTATTATTGGTAGGAGATTTTCTTCGTTCTTGGTAATATAAAGATTCGGATCTATGTGTTGTTTCCTTTTCAATTCATGCATCATCTATTAGAAAACAGAGTTTTCATAGATTATTGGAGTATTTTATATGGTTGTTAAACTAGATGTACTGTTGTTGTAAAAAGTAAAAATTAATTAATAATTAATGTAAAAGTTATAATTAATATTATATAACTTTTTTTTTAAGAAATTAGCATGTATCATACTTTTAAATGTCTAAATTTTTATCAATATTTTTAAAATTAGTTTGATTATTGAATTGGTAAAAATATGATTTAGGATTTAAAGATGTAACTGGGATCTAACTGAATTTAATAAAATAATATTTTTATAATATAATATACATAAATTTAATAAAATAATATTTTTATAATATAATATATATAATATGTTTATTAGTAATATTTTTTTTATAAAAGAAAAAAATAATAAAGATTATTGTGATGGCAAAAAAATTATAATAAATGTTAGAAATATAAAATATAGTAGAAAATGTAAAATGAATAGTTAATAAAATAAAATAATTATTATTTAAGGTGATGTAATTAATATGAGATAAAAAAATAACTAAAATATTTAATAAATTTTATAAAAAATTATATTAAAAAATATCTTAAATTTTTTTATCAAAATCAATTCAACTCACAAACCCAGTCAAATTTTTGGTTTTACCGATTTTGTCCTATTTTTTTCAATTTTGTCTCTATTTAATTAAAATCTAATTATTTGAAAGCAATGATATCAATTTTTGGTTAGATGTAGGTTGAAACAGTCAGTCCGATCCAATTTTTAAAATAGTTATTTTCACACATAACCATCAATAAAAACCTATCAATATCAATAACACAATACCAATCATAATTTTTTTTTCATTCTTAATAAATTTTATTATATAGTCTATAAAATAAAAATAATATACTTATGTAGAATTATGACAATAAAAAAAGAAACAAGATGATAAAAATATAGAAAAATATTGACAATGTCTTAGACAATTAGAAAAAAATTTCATCTTTATTCTTTTTCTTTCTAATTAAGGTAATTGTTATCTACATTAATTATGCTTCGTTATGTGGCTGAACAATCTTTAGATAGAAAAATATTTAAAGATGAATTTTGAAAAGAAAAAACCTACAAAGAAGATAAACTTTAGAGAAGATGAGTTTTAGAAAGAAAAAACATCAAACAATTCAATTATCGATTAGATAAATTCAACAATATCAAATTAATAAAGAATGCTACTCAAATTATATAACAATTTAATTTTGTTATATGAAACCAAATGAGATTAAATGAGACTATGTTGTTTGTAATTTGACAATCATAAGAATATCAAATTAATTGAATTTTTGCTAAAGTTTTATTTTATTCTTTTATGGGTAAAATTTCATTTGGCACTTTGTAGGATGAATTTTAGCCATCATTTGGGTGATACTCTTCTAATACAACAATTAGCCAATGATTCTAGTAGAAAATTTATGACACTTACGCCTTTACCCTTGGACAATCAATTACAAACTTAGGTAATCAGATTACATGAAGATACTCACCAACTTAGGCACCTGCATGCAACTAGATCAGACATCACACGATATTAAAATTGGGTTGTTTATAAGAGTTGTATGGAATTTGGATGTCAAAATATCATTTCTGCGACCAGCCCCTGGTCACCAGAATTAACAGTCTAAAGCACCATAAATCTCCAGCGCTCTCATACTTGCTTGACCCCTTAATGAGAGGCTCCAACTACTGGTTTTATTTTATCAAATTGGACATGCTTCAGCACCAAATCAAGAACCACATGTGCGTGTTCAAGGAGACACAGCACTTCACTGCTCCAGGTTCACGAAAGCATCTGCTGGTCACGCCAAAATCTGCACCGCTTCTGTTTATTCAGTGCTTTGAAACACACCATCCAACTGCTTGTAATTCTCCAGCTGCTTGCAATTTGAAAAAAGGATGCCACTGAACAGATTGAGTCTTGCACAGCATCGTTCCACCAATTCAATTGTGCCAACAATTCACACCACAAATGGATTGGCACCGAGCTCATTAAGCTGATTTATCACTGCTTCATCACGCTTAATACTGCATCGCACCACAGCTACTTAAGGTTTTAATGATGTTTTTATTGTTCATTAAGACCAGAAAACTTACCAAGTGTGTCATATAGAGGCACACAAATGGAAGATTCATGATGCTATCTTGGAGCCGATGAAACAGATAATGTAATCAAATAGATCATGTAGACTGATCAAATGCACCGGTGTTAACTTACTAATGCGCACATAAGGGCACAAACACACATAAACAGAGCATATATGACAGACAGAAAGATTTGTCATAAGACAGAAAGTTACACTACTTTGTTAATGTGTATAAATGTATAATAGTTAGGAATTCTAGTAATTACTCCCTGGGATGTTAATGTATATAAATATATTTTATTACCTAGGAATCTTAGTAATTACATTTTTCATTATATATCTTCTGGAATCTTTTCCATTAATGTAAAATATATGCTACAGCCTATTTAAACAGAGAAAGGTTAAAGAATATAGACAAACATTTTTAAAAACAGATTGTGTTATATGATAATTGCTCTATTGCTCTCTTATGTCTTAATAGTTGACATGATATCATAGCTACAACTCTAAACCGCGGTCCACTCTTGCATTATGGTATTGTGTTCTTATAGGTGACTTCAATTTTGTTTTCACAGTGTTTTCAAGTATGTTGTGTCTCCTAGGATTTGTCCTCTATTTACTTGTCTTTGTCTCACCAAATTGTTGAAATTAATTTTTTCATTATGTCTTATGATAAGTCTAATTCCTTTCTTATTCGATTTAATGGAAAAAATTATTCTTCTTGGGAATTTTAATTTAAACTATTTGTCAAAGGAAAATATTTAAGAGGATTTGGCAAAATGGGAAATCAAAGATGCTCAAATCATGACTTGGATATTCAGTTCTATTGAGCTTTATTTTATTTTTAATCTCAGGCCTTATAACACTTATAAGGACATGTTGGAGTATTTGAAAAAGGTTTATGACCAAGACAATGCAACTTGGAGATTTTAATTAGAGTATGAGATGACTAATTTCACACAAGAGAGTCTATTAATTGAGAAATATTGTTCTGGTTTTTAAAATCTTTTAACTAAATATTCAAATATTATTTATGCTGGTATTTCTGGTTCAGCACTCTTTGTTGTTTAAACAGTGCATGAGATCAACAAGAGATATCAATTTTTGATGAAGTTGCAATCTGACTTTAAAGTCACTCGTTTTAATCTAATGAATCGCGACCTAGTGTCAATTTTAGATGCTTGCTTGGGTGAGCTTCTTCGAGAGGAACAACGCATAACAACTTAAGTAGTCATGGAACATAACACCAATTCTACTACTCCTATTCATGTGGCCTATGCAACACAAGGAAAGAATAAAACAAGAGATATGTGTTTTGTCAAATGCTACAGTTATAAAGGATTTGGTCATATTGCGAAGGATTGTCCATAAAAGTGTTGTAACTACTACAAGCAGTGATGGCATATTATCACAACTTATCCAATTCATCATGAAAAGAAGCATGGAACTACATACCATGCCTCTATTGATGCTGCGAGTTCTACTACTACATTGTTCTTTCTGCCTCCTACACCTCCTACAAACATACTTACTCTTGAAATGGTACAACAGATGATTATGTATGCTTTTTCTGCCTTTGGTCTCTTAGGTAATCCTTCCCAACCTTGGACCTTGATTATGGAGCGTCTAACCATATGACAAATTCTTTTGTGTCTCTATCCAACGTAAAAAATTATGATGGAAATCAAAAAATTCATACAGCAGATGACACCTCTTTGTCTATTAATGCTATTGGTGATATTTCCCCTTCTTTGACTAATATTTTTGTGTCTCCCAGTCTTTCCACAAATCTTATTTCTATTGCCCAATTAGTTGATTATAAAGTCCAATTTTCTCGTTCTAGTTGTGTTCTGCAGGATCAAGTGTTCGGGAAGATCGTACAATTTTCTCTTGTCTGTATTAATGATAAGCAGGTGAATAAAATGTGGCATAATCGTTAAGGTCATCCAAATTTTCATGTACTTAGTACCTTGTTTAAATCTGGTTCTTTGGGCAATAAAGATTTTGTTGTTTCTTTTGATTGTGCTACATCTAAACTTGGTAAACGTAAAATCTTACCATTTCCACATAAAGCATCTCGTGCAAATAATTGTTTTAATGTTTGGGGGATTTTACCTATTGTTTCTCATGTAGGTTATAAGTATTTTGTTACTTTCATAGATGACTACAGTAAATTTACTTAGATATACTTTCTTCGGTCTATTGTAACATCCTGATTCTCAATACCCCTGATTTGTTAAATTTTGACAAAGTCTTTGTCAAACTTTTAATAATTAAATTATTAAGAATTGGGTGAAGAAACTGTAGAGTTTGATGTTTGTTAGATTATTTGTGTTTTTCTAGAATTTTTCTAGAATTTTTAGAAAATACTTAAAATTGATCCGTTTCGCGGGCAACTGGACGCCTGATAGTAATTATATGATTTAGGGTTGAAATTGAAAGAGTATGGACTTAACAATTGTCATTGTCACATTTAGAAATTATTGTTTTCTTTTATGCATTGAGTGTGGGTACATTAAAAGTTTATTATGTGTATAAATTGACAAGAAACATATGATTGTTAATATGGTTTGGAGTGATGTTGGAGTCTTAGGGGTTGTGGGTTCAAATCCTGGCTAGAGTAAAAAGGAGAAAATGAAGATATTTTTTTTGTAATATAATCTGCTGAGCGGATTATGTCAGTTAATCGATCAACAGGTTTTTTAATCGATTAGAACAGAGAGTTTTGGGATCCGCTGGGCGCATCAGAAATCTGCTGAGCGGATTGTGGTTCGAAATCTCTATCTTACTTGCGGCCACATATCCGCTGAGCGGATTGTGAGTTGAAATCTTATTACTTGCGGCCTCATATCCGCTGAGCGCACGAGAAATCCGCTGAGCGGAAAATTAGGTGAAATAAGACTCAGAAATTTGACTTTTAAATGAAAGAGTACCATTATGCAAATTTTTCGTAGGTTCATTGTTTCTCTCTTTCTCTCAAAATTTCCTTACCTTCAAACTTGATTTTAACGGGAAAATCTTGATTTTCTTGAGAAGCTCCAAGAGGTAAGTTGGTTTATCTCAATCTCCGCTACATTTCTACCATTTTATTTTTCAAAACGGTGCATTTTCTATTTTTCTCCTCACTTGGCTCAACTTGAATGGATGTAGGAAGAAGGTTATTGTAGGTTTTACACCTAGAATACTAGAATGATGCTTAAAATTGAGGATTAGAAGTTGTTAAGCTAAAAACTTTAAGAGCCCTAATTCGTAGGTACTATTCATTGAATTTTTGGGACTTGTGTGAACAGAATTAGGAATTGGTATCTTCATGAAAGTTGTAGCTCTTTAAGTTGTCGAAATTTAGAAACTGGTTTTACATTAAACGGATATTAGTAGCTCAAGTTATACCCATTTTACTGTCAAGTGTTCTAGCTGTGACGTTAAGATGTTGCCCTGTTTCAACAGCCTCGGTTTTTGAATTACTGGGATAGATACGTATGAAATTAGGACTTGATTCCTTCATAAAAGTTGTAGAAAATTATATTCCCAAAATTTAGAAATTTGTTTCATGTCAATAGCTTATGTGTAGCAAGAGTTATAATCCAATTACTAAGGCATGTTCAGAGTGTTATTGTAGTTGAGCCTAGTTGGAAACAACCACTGAAAACTGAAAACTGCATCTATTCTATAGGGTATTTGAATTTATTTCCTTCATCAAAATTGCAGGTAATTAAGTTATTGAAATTTTGGCTTAAATCTCATGCCAAAACAGCTTATATAACTCTAGAAAATTTTGAAATACTGAACATTGTCCATGGTAGTTATTAGAATTCTTTCTACTCTAAGTGCCTATAAAATAGAATAATTTTCTAAGTTAATTGTAAGCTGAATGTGAGCTTAAAATATTATTAGAAATGGATTAGTAATACAAAGTGAATTTAAATTCTCATGAGATAGAATCATAGAAATAAAAGATTCTAACTAGCATTTTATTACGTATATAGATTTTGCTGAAACACAACATCAAGCTTTGAAAGGAATAAGTGTGAACGTATCAGGTAAGGGGTGGGCTATATAGTAAGGATTACATCATAAACTTGTTTGACCTTATTTGTTGAATTTGTCTAAATTTGTTATGATTGATCATTTTGATTTTATTATATGCTTGGTTGTGAAAGTGATCATGAATTGCTTACGTGTACAATGGTGTAAAATATATGTTTGGTACTCTATTATGATATATATGGTCTTTGAGTGAGCATTTATATGCATGGTGGTTTTTCATGAGAAAATTCATTGAAAATTAAATTGAAAGAATTTGATGATGGGTTGTGAACCCTTTTTGAACTGTATTGGAAGTTTTCTCGCTTGTAATGGTGATTGGAAATTTTTGGGAAGTCCGTATTACAGGGGAAACTCTGTCAAATTTTTGGAAAAATGTGAATTTCTAAGAAAAAACAACTTAGGGACTCATACATTACTCATTTGAAAATGGTGATTTGTGAAATCTGGGGAATCAGAGATTATGGACTCTGAGAATACGATAGGGAGACCCTGAGGGAGGACTTGAGGATAGGAAGGGTAGTGGTTGGAGGCCCCAAAAGACCCAGGCTCGCTACCTGTTGTCGGGGATCCCACTGTACAAACTCTGCTATACCTGACTGTGCTCTTACCGTATATCAATGGTCAGTGAGCTACTGGGTTTATATTTGAGCATGGGTCTCAACAATCCCGTGGGTGGATTTTCCATGCCTAGTAGTGTCAACTCCTGGCTACCCCAGTACTGATTTGAGAAATGATTCGGGCCCGCATGCATAAACATTTTAGAAAACATATTAGG